GTTCCTCTGTATTAAAAAGGAGAAAATTTAGTCCTTTTTCCATTTGCATTAAGAACTCTCTGTCCATAGATATTGGGAGGAGACAGAACTAAGCTTGACCATGGTCCCTTGCATAGTAAAATAGCCCACAAATGAAGCTCCCATGTGGAAGTTTACTTGAAGCCGCTTTTGAAAAAGACCCATTTAAAAAGCATCTTTCAAGACTTCAAGACATCCCAAAACGCTTTACAGCCAATTAAAACCTTAGTCAGTGTTGTAACGTAACTATCAGAAGGTACAACAGAAGTACTGTTTTATATAATGGTACTTCTGTCTTTATTGCCTGAAGTACTTTTCTGAACAGATCACTGGTTAACTGCAGATGTAGTTGTCCAAGTCCTGATGTTTAATGATATGGTTCTGTAAAGATGTTGGCCTGCAGTAAGCTCCCCTCCCAGTTAGAATACTGAATGGCCTGGACTGAGTGGATGTTGGGAAGATGTTTCCATTGGTCGGAGAGACTAGGATCAGATGGCACAGCCTTAGAGTAAAGGGAAGACCTTTTAGAACAGAGATAAGGAGAAACTTCTTCAGCCAGAGAGTGGTGAATCTGTGGAATTCACTGGCACAGAAGGCTGTGGAGGCCAGGTCATTGAGTATATTCAAGATGGAGATTACTAGGTTCTTGATTGTCAAGGGGATCAGGGATCATGGGGAGAAAGCGGGAGAATGGGGTTGAGAAACTTATCAGCCATGATTGAATGGCAGCGCAGACTCGATGGGCTGAATGGCCTAATTTCTGCTCCTATATCTTATGGTCTTATTACACAATACTGTTTCCTAGTTAAGAGTGTACGCTTTTCTAATGGCATGTCAGTATTGCTGGCAAAGTCAATATTTCCTGACCATACCTAATTGCCCTTGAAAGGGCTGTACTGTGCCACCCTTTTGAATGTCTCAAGTCCATTGGTGTATGTGCTGAGAGTGGAGGGATATGCAGGATATTGATCCATCAGTATTATTGACTACTGAGCTCAGCGTGGTGTGTGACGTGTGACTTGGTGGAGAATTTGCAGTGGTGCTGTTCCAGTACATCTGCTGCCCTTGTTCTTCTAAGTGTAGAGATGGTAGATTTTGGAAGGAACTGCCAAATGGGACTTAGTGACTTGCTGCACTGCAAACACTGCTGCCACTGTGTGCTGCTTGTGGAAGGAGTAAATGTTTAAGTGGTAGATGGGGTGCTGATCAGGTGTGTGCCTTGCCCTGGATGCTGTTGAGCTTCTGGAGTGTTAGAACTGCACTCATCCAGACAAGTAGACAGTATTCTATTACATTCCTGATTTGTGTCGTGTAAGTGGTGGACAGGCTTTGTGACATCAGCTGGTGAGTTATGCACCACAGAATTCCCAGGGTCTGACCTGCTTCTATACTTGAGTTTATAAATGGCATAATCAGTTCAGCTTCTGGTCAATGTGATATCCTCCCATGAAAGGAGAACTTCCCAATAGTGAGTCAGCAGCAGCAATACCATTGCATATCAAGGGGAGGTGGTTGGGTTATCTGTTCTTGGAGACAGTCACTGATCGGGACTTGTGTGATATGAATGTTGCTTGTCACTTATCAGCCCTCGCTTGGATGTTGTCCAAATCTTGCTGCACAGGGACACAGACTTCTTCAGTATCAGAAGAATTGGAAATGGTGCTGACCGTTGTGAAATCACCTTCAGTGAATATCCCCTTCTCATGGAGCGAAGATTGTGGATGAAACAGCTGAAGATGATTGGGTCTAGGACATTACTGTGAGGAATGCAAAGGGGTTCTTGTAGTGCAGTGATAGTGTCCTTGCCTCTGAGCTAGGTGGCCAGGGTTCAAATTCAACATTCTCCACAGAGGTGTTTAATAACATCTCTGAACAGGTTGATCAGAAAATATGCACGCTGAGGACTGCAAACAGCTAGGACCAGGGTCTAATGCTATTGGCCTGCAACAACCACAACCATTTTCTTCAGGGGTGATTTTTGTCCTTCTGATTTGCATTTCAAATTTGCTGGGTCTCCTTAATGCCAAATATGGTCAAATGTTGCTTTTGACATCAAGGCAAACGCTCTCTCTTTGCCTCTGGAATTCTGCTCTTTTTGTTCATTTTTGGACAATGAGATCTGGAACTGACTGGTCTTGGAGGAGTCCAGACTGAGCATCAGTGAGCACTCCCGATAAAACACTCTCTGTCACTTTGATGGAGAACAGATTGATGGCTTGCAAAAACAGAAATTCCTGGAAAAGTTCAGCAGGTGTGGCAGCAACAGGGAGGAATGGTTCTGAGGAAGGCTCACTGAACCCCAAGCGTTAACTCTGATTTCTCTTCACAGATGCTACTAGACCTGCTGAGCTTTTCCAGCAATTTCTGTTTATGTTTCTGATTTACAGGGTCTATAGATCTTTTGGTTTTTAATGATAGGTTCCAGTTGGCTTGTTTGGGTTTGTCCTGCTTTTGTACCTGGGTGATTTTCTGCCTTGTAGATGCCATTGTTGCAGCAATGTTGGAACAGCTTACCTGTGAATGCTGTTTCCAGTGCATGTAAGTACTTGCAGCACATCCAAAAGACTTATTTTTTTTTTAAAATGTAAATTAAGGTTGCATTCCGGTTTAATTATGGATCTACGAGGTGGAACAGGGGGTCTGATTTTAACTGTGTAAATTAATGGGTTTTGAGAGAATTAAATGAGTTCTGGATTGTGAGGTTTAAAAGAAACTTTGGATTGCTTCATTAGAGGAGAGAAAGCTGACAGGAGATCACAGTGGAAGTGGTCATAACTGTGAAGAGTTTTAAGAAGGCAAACAGGAAATATATATTTCCATGTATTGGTGTGTCCGTAACTAGAAGGATGAATCCAAGATCAATATGACAAGCAAAGGAAATGAAGAAACACAATGGCCCAGACCTTCTGGTGTTTGAATAGTTTGAGGCTGGACATATCCCCTGCGGTACAAGTTGGGACCCATTGGATGTCCTGGCATTGTGACACATTGAAATTATCTGGGTGGCTTAGAATCTTAGAATGTCCTTTGTATTGTCACATGTACTCAAGTATGAACTGCAGGAGTACAGTGAAAAGTTTTCAATGTTACCCCATATGGCGCGATCTTAGGGACAAAGTACCTAGGTACAGATCTTGATACAAGATACAGAAATAAAGAGAAAAAGGGAAAAGAAGTTACATTATGTACAGTTGTTCATAGTATGTTAGAAAAATGAGAATAAAGTTAAAAAGGTATGCATTACAGTCTTTTATTAGATTAGCACAGAGGGCTCCGTACGTGGTCTACACAGGCCTCCATCCCCCGGCTGTCCCCGCGTGGTTCGGGCCTCTGGCCTGCTGGCCGTCCCCGCAACATTTGGGGCCGGCCGGCCGTCCCTGCTCTGCTCCATGTCTTTAGCTCACTCTACCTCAGGAGAGAATATCAAGATGGGATAAAGGGGGGAAAGAAAGAGAGGAAAATGGGAGTAAACAGAAGGAGCGGAGGAGCTCTGATTGGAGTGTCCAATTCTGCCACAATCTTAAACTTCCAATGGGGAGTAACCCTGCATCCAGAGCCTTCTAAGAAAGTCTGATTTAGAATTGGGAACTTTGGAGGGTTTTGATTCACTTACCTGGATAGTCACTCAGGAAATGGCAGATGATAAAATCCAGTTTCTGTCAGTCTTGAAAATGCACTCCAAAACAGCTTTGGAGTCAATTGAGAGCGCGTGAGGCCTGGGTTCAGGTCCAACCTTCTTCAGATTTATGTGATAACAGGGATTAATTGGAAAATATCAAGAGAATTCTTCCAAGGATTTTGTGCCATGGCACTGTCCCTGTCTTTGGGTCAGGAGGCCCAGGTTCAAATCGCAACCTGTCCAGGAATGTGTCCCAACAAGTTGACTAGAATAACAGGAGCAGTGTTCCTACCACTAGGCAGTGGGGATCACCAGTGGAGGGCTCTCTACCCGGGACTACTCCCATTTTCCATTGGGTTTCTGGGTTGGTGGTTGTCGGAAGTGGCAGTCCCATACACTTGTGGTTTGGGTGGTTCATGGATTCCTGGCCCAAACGTTCATTTTACAATGGTGTGGAGTCTGTGGACCGTGTATATGTCGGGTGTGGTAAATGATATACCCATGTTTAATTACTTAAAGAATCTTTTGCTGTTTTTTTTTTTTGTTTGCACTTCAATCCAGTGTTCCTGATCTTTGGGCACTCGTTGCAGCGCAAGGGGGAGTACATAAAAACTCCTGATGAGCCTGCCCCTGGGCCCCATAATCTCATCTGACTACTCCATCCCTACAACTCTCCCTAACCTGAATTCACCACCACCCAGCCACCCTAACGTGCTGCCACTTTATCTACATTGTCATTCTACCCACTGACCTCATTCTCACTCACCCACTCGTACGCTGGAAAGCTGTTTGAATATCCTAAAGCTTCTTAGAGTGTTAATGAATGTAACCGAGTACAGCAGCTAGTCCCATACAAATGAGGCCTGGTTTGGATTCCCCTGAAAAGCCAGCTGTACAAAGAATGAGCCCAAAAATAGGTCCATTCCACATTTCTGAAGAGGCCTGGTTGGGAGGTTTAAACTAGAAATGCAGGTTGTGAAAAACAGTAGCAAAGTAGCAATCTAAAAGTGAAGTTTCGAGCCCATAATCATGGAAAGAGAATTCCAAATATCTTTTGAAAAAGAATATAGATAAGCGTACCTTGAAAACAAAGTAAAAAGTTAATGTGAAGTGCAAGGGAATAGGGCTAAATAGATAGCTGTTTGAGTCTTTTATCCACCCAGTGGGAAGTGTGTGTCACTGGCAAGGCCAGCATTTGTTGCCCATCCCGAAATGCTCGAAAGCTAAATGACTTGAGGCTATTTCAGAGGGCAGTTAAGAGTCACTGTCTCTTTGTATGTCTTTGCCTAGTTCCTCCTTTGACCTGTCACTGTATTTGAGCAGCAGCCATCAATGATTTAATTTTTGATGTCATTACCTGCAGGTACCAAAAGGCCGCGTGGTGGCTCTCAATTTTCGCTTCCTCGATCTAGAACGGGACACTCTCTGCAGATACGATTACATTGATGTCTACGATGGGCACATCAATGGCCAGCGGTTGGGCAGGTTTTGTGGTACTTCAAAGCCTGGAGCCATCATCTCAACCGGCAACAAGATGATGGTACAGATGGTAACTGATGCCAACACTGCAGGAAACGGTTTCGTTGCTATGTACTCTGCAACTCGGCCAAACCAGAGAAGTAAGGTTATTTCATTCCTGCTGACAGAATAAGCACTATAAATTCATGGCTAGTGTAGAAACGTCAGTATGAGATATAAGTTGCCTCGCTGGTGGCAGACCCATCTCTGAGGCAAAGGTTATCCCCTTAGGGGAGGCGATGGCCTAGTGGTATTGTTGCTGGACTGTTAATCCAGAGACCAGACAACATTCTCACTAATAAAATGCCCTACCAGTATTGCCCTTCCACGCTTATTCCTCCTCCTCCCTGAACAATTGGACCATCCACAGTGCCATAAAATATATACTGATTATATAAACCCCACACGGAGGAGACAACGCATTGGGAAAGAAAGCACTAAAAGATCTCTATACTAAATAGAAGATATTCGTGGCTGAAATTTTCGACAGGAATGTAATGCTTAATTTAAATAGGAATAGCTGCTAGAAGCAGGAGCGTAATACCAGTTAATGCATCAACACTAAAAATCAGTCCTGTCAATACTTCCAGTTGGTTTTGACATAAGTAGAATGATTAAAATAAATATGCACAAGCTAGCTTAAGCTCATTTTAGAGTAGAAACTGTTTTGTTCGTGGTTGTGATGAGTCATGCACAATGGAGAGCACCTTATTTGGTGCTGTAGAGCTGACATCAGCAGAAAGCACCAAATATTGAAAGGGCTATAACTTGACTTGAGGGTACTGAAGCATAAAGTGTTAGAATAATGATTTTGCCACATACTAAAAAATTCTGCTGTAAAGTGTAATGATATTTTGCTTTGAGTGCTCATTGTTGAATTGATAGTTTGTAATATTTTTATTCTAATCCTTACAGATGATCAGTTTTGTGGTGGTCGTTTGGAAAAATCACCTGGTTCCTTCAAAACACCCAACTGGCCAGACAATGATTACCCAGCTGGAGTCTCCTGCTCATGGCACATTGTGGCACCCAAACATCAGGTAATGGTGACTAAATATGTAACAATGCCTTATCTGATGATCTAAACCAATAACATGGCTCCTTCCAAAAGGTCTTGGGAAAGAAAGCGGTTGGGATCTGGGGAAAGAGCAAGGACATGGACATGAATTGGATAACCTTTCTCAAAGAGCTGGCACAAGCATATGATGAATTGAATTACCTCCTTCAGCCCTGTATAATGCTGTGATTAATGAATTTGTTGCAAAACTGATTGAATAGCTAAGCTACAATTTATTTTTCTATGGCTGGCATCATGATCTCAGTTGAGACCAGTGAGATTTTTTATTTAAAAGAAAATCTGAATTCCCAGTTTCCAGTTTGCAATCACTTTTTGGTTTGGAATCGCAGGTTTGTAGATTAAGCTTAACCATTTAAGCCAAGTTCTTCCTTTAGACCTGTTTGTTAACATGAGAAGTGCAGACAATTGTGTGAACAGAGCCCAGCTGATGCAATGGGTTAGATGCTAATATTTTCCTCTGGAAGCTGGGTTTCATTCCAGCCTGGGCTGCTGGAATGAAGCTCTTTTCATGGTTCTGCCCGTAAGGGCACTACGGGAAAGGGGTTTAGACAGTTGTGTTCCAATTCTTACTAGGCCAATGGCATAAAACTGCTTCTAGTTTGCCTCTGACTAATATTTCATTTAGGGATGCCACAGGATGGCTGGCATA